AGTAAACATAGTTACTTTACACGTATAGCTTTACACGTCTCCCAGTTATGATGAAGGATTTTTAAATGGTATATACAGTGGGTTGATGCTTGACCAATTTGCACTTAATGCTGCCCATGCACAGTGCACTATCCAGTGAGTGAGTGACCAGTGTCCGGAAGCGGTGTCACGTCGCATTGTGTGTTGGGAGTCTCCAGGGACCCCTCCTCGGATATAAAGAGTGACCGCCCCCCCCCGGACAGGATCCCGGCTCTGCTGCATGGATGCTCAGGCTCAGCATCCTCAGTCTGCACAGCTCAGCGGATCTGACACACTGACCGGACACCCTCTCCAGTAAGTGCATGCAGCCTCTATTCAATGAACCAGCTTTCAGTGCATGACATTGTGGGTATATTTGTTTAATCAGCTGATTCAGTGTCGCAGTTAGTATGTGAGCTTTACGCAGTTACCTTTAACATGTTTTTATAATGCGCAGCAACGTGGTGTCGGGATTTGCTTTGAGTTTACTGAATGTAACTCGCGTCCAACAACAGATGCATTGAAGACATTAGTCAAAGTCAAAAGTGAAACCTTTAAATGCGGCAATTACGGAGCTGACGTAATTTAATTAAACTGTATTACAGGCTAAATATAGATCTGCTATACGCATGTATGAATGCGTGTTTTGGAAGAGGGCAAACTTTCTGAAAATACATTTAGGATACTTCATTCTCATCGTGTGTCTGCATGGAGGTCATACTTCACCTCATGCAGAGCATCACTGCACACAGCGTGCCGGAAACTGGCTTGATTGTTACCATAGCAATGAGAGGGCATGTCCCTGTCTGGGACAGCAGCCATGGACCACACCCTTCCTCTAGAGATGCGCATGCTGGGCTGGGGAGGAGAGACTATAAAACCTGGATAATGTGTTACACTAAGATGGTTAAATGCTCTGATGCTTTAGATGCTATAGTGCAACTTAATAAACAAAGAGGATATAAAAATAATAGACTACAGGAGGTATTTAAAAGACGCTAGCCTATAATGATGCTTTTTATGAGAACAGTTTTGCAGTCTTGCTATTTGCCTATTATATGTAGGCTACTTGTTACTTCAGGGTGGGTGGACTGCCAAACTGTAGAGGGAGAGACTATACAACCTAAATAAAAACATAGTTTAGTATAATGCTCTAAGAACTATTTTCAATAAGAATAGTAGTTATTTTGCAATTTAATACACAACAAAGTATTCATTTACAAACTACAAAATGTATTTTAAAAGAACAGTAGCCTATAATTAGGTTTTTTATTGTAGAAATACTTTGCAGTTTTGCTATTTCCCCCTTATATGTAGGCCTACCTTTTTTTTACAAACATTAAGAAGGTTAATGATAATGCCCTAATGCTTTAGATTTAGATTTTAGTAAACAAATAACAATTTTAACTAAGAATTCTAGTTATCTCGCAATTTCATTCATAACAGGGTACAAAGTAGTCACTAATACCCCCTATTATACTCCAAAATGCTTATTATAGGATCAGTATAATGATGTTTTTGTCAGAATGTTTGCAGTTAAGCTGCTATGAGCTTTAGATGTATTTATTATTAAGAGAGAATGTTTCAACTCTCTTAAACAGGGATTCAGAGCAGACACCAAAAACTCACCAATATACTACAAAAAGTTAAATATAGGAACAATATGATGTTTTTTTATATTTCACCTTTCACCTTTATGTGTACCATTCTCCTCAGGGCCACTTTACACTCCACACTGCACACGAGAGAGCTGCTATGGCGAACAGAGGGCCGAGCTACGGCCTGAGCCGAGAGGTGCAGGCGAAGATCGAGCAGAAGTACGACGTGGATCTGGAGCAGCGGCTGGTGGACTGGATCGTGGCTCAGTGCGGAGGAAACATGGAGAGGCCGCAGCCCGGCAGGGAGAACTTCCAGAAGTGGCTGATGGATGGAACAGTGAGTGGCTGTAGTACCGCCGCTTAAAATAGTTTGCCATTCAATTATTTAAGATACAATATAATAGTGGTCTGTCAGATTTGAAAAGCCTATGGAGTCAAACAAGGCTAGCAACCGGCTTTATGCTTCCAGTTCTTTATGGGCTCAGTTAATAATATTCATCTGCATTTATTGATGTGTTATATTTGGTACCTGGAAGAATAGGCCATTAAGGTAAACACAATGATTTTAAATGTTTGAATTGTTTTGGTGCTTGCTTTGCAAATGTAGGGTTTTGCACATTGAGTCATTCTGTGAAAAACTCCCCACTTAGAAACTTAATTAACAACCAATTATAAAATGCACCCTCCACGATGCTGCAGTATCTTCTCACTTTACACTCCAGCTGACTAATGTTCAGAGAACATGAGGAGAAAGGCAGAGACATCAATTTCTGCACCAGCAAGTTACTCAACAGGCAATTACGCAATGCAGCCACAAAACATGAAAATGACTCCCAATTTGAAATGCTTTCATAACTAAATGAACGTTCTGCGTCTCTTGAGGCAATGACAACAGCCAAATCCTAACAAAAATATGATTCATGGCGTTTAAACATGCCAAATACGACCATGTGAGTGAACTAAAACCCTTAATTTAGTAACTTTAATTCAATGTTATTTTCCAGATCCTCTGTAGGCTTATCAACAGCCTGTATCCGAAAGGAAAGGAGCCTATCAAGAAGATCCTAGAGACACAGATGGCCTTCAAACAAATGGAGAAGATCTCTCAATTCCTGCAGGCAGCTGAAGCGTATGGAGTCTCGACCACTGACATATTTCAGACGGTGGACCTCTGGGAAGGTGATTTGAACTCCGATTACTTACATTCCATCTCCCGCTGGCGTCATATATATTTTTTCCCGATGATAATCAGTTTGCAATGCACGTCATGACAGAATGATCATTTTGTTCCGGCTGTAGGAAAGGACATGGCAGCCGTGCAAAGAACTCTCATGGCTCTTGGCAGCGTGGCTCTCACTAAGGACGACGGGCATTACAGAGGTGACCGAGACTGGTTCAACAGGTAAAGAGAAACAGAGGAAATTCAAAATGTTTCCCTCGCATGCTTGTGATGCTTCATTCGCCTCATTCTGTATTTGTTACTGTTGTGTAGGAAAGCCCAGGGGTATCGTCGGGAGTTCAGCCAGGAGCAGCTCCGCCAGGGTCAGGGTTTGATCGGCCTGCAGATGGGCAGTAACCGCGGGGCTTCCCAGGCCGGGATGACGGGCTACGGCCAGCACCGTCAGATCATGTAGACCCCTTTGCTAACCCCCGCTTCCAGACCTTGTTTTTCTACTAATACCACAAACGCTGTAGCCCCAAAACCTCCATTTCTTCTGTAGCACCTGCCATGTCGACCTCAATCTCCCTGGAATTGCTGCTTACCCAAACCTAGTGTTTTATCTTGTAATGTCAAATGCTGTAGATCTTAAAAGTCCCCTCGCTTGTGCCACATGTCCTCCTCTTTGTCTACTGTCCAAATGATTACCTAACGAGAAACCTTAAAGTCATCCATTTAGTCTCATCAATAATTTAGTATTAGAATCTCTATACAAACCATCAGTGTTATAAACATCTGAAATAGTGTAAGCCACTATTAAGGCATGCTGTATGCTATTTATTTCCATTTGTGTATACATTTACCATTGTTTTAAAATGATCTTTTACTGTGTAATTGTTTAGCCTTAAACCTAATGGAACTCAATGAATGACGACGTCTCTGCTATCTTGTCTTGAAGACTTGTTGCAGTATCCTCTGTAACCAAATCAACCTCACGTTGTGCCTGGTTATGGGACTACAGAGACTGAGTCCTGGTACTTAGAAATGAGTTCCCTTCATTCTGAGCCATGCCCATATTATTTATTATTTCGGTCACATCTTTAAGTCAATGTGCAGCAGCCAACACGTGTGAAAGACCCCATCTCTGGTGCCAGGTAAAGACATTGCTTGAATGTGCACTTTTATGTGTTGTCATGTTTATATTTTTGAATATATTTATACCTGGAGGCTTGTGAGAAGGATTATTGAAGAACAAAATAAAGGATGTGAACATATATGTGTGTCAGTCTGTGAAACACACAAGCTGGGTATGTTGATAACTGGGAAGTCGGGGGTGTTTTCTGCTATCTTGGTTTAATGTTACAGCTCCTCCCTTGCGTCCCTCCCTGCTGTCTCTCTCCACCGTACACAATCTAATAAAGGGGCAGCAGCATGACATAATGATTAGGTTGAGGATGCTTCTACCAGATAGTCCAGAAAAGGCATGCACTGTGAGTGACCCTAAGTAAGTTATTAAAGCCCTTGTTGTACCAATAAAATAGTTGATATGCATTTGTGGAGGGTGCAGCAAAGAAAGCCACCAGAACTGCCATGAAGTTACTCTTCAACCCTGTACTGTAATGTTCTGTGTTTGTAGTTTTCAATGTATTTCTTATTGCTTTCACCATCTTACGAAAACTCTTTGACCTTATGTCTGCTCTATGGTTACCATTAATCTAGATAACATATAAATGGCACTGTCATTAAGATAAACCTTTGTCCAAGGCATTAGCGACATTAGGCTCTGAACCACAAAAGGTCATTTTTTTTATGCCAGTGATCCAGTTTATGTGGACAATTGTTTCTGACTGTTGACATTTCAGAAAGCACATATGAGAAAAAGCATGCATGAATTAACATTTTAGCATCTAGTGACTTCTCACAATGCTGCTCTTTAAATCTTGGCTAAAAATGTCTGCTAATATAATGGCGTCCATTCGTAATGTCTTGTTATTGCTCAATTCAAAGCCAGAGATGTCACCCTAGTGCTTAATATCCCGTTTGCTCACTGTACAGAATGCTGCCCATGTAAAAGTATGTGGCCTTCTGCATGTGTGGCCCTGACATACACTGTGTGCTTATTATTAGCCTCAACTACACTAGAGAAGCATCTGAAAGGGATATGTTACTGACAGACACAATAAGTAATCCACAAACGCAGCCTGACCAATGGGATGGCACTGGGGACTGAGGTCACTGTTGTCCAAAGTTCCTGTCCAGCTTTTGTTTTCTTTAGTTGGTGTCTTCGCTGCCTGTTGTTCCGCTGTTTTCCTCCTGAGTGTGAAGATATGTGGATATAGGGCTGACTATGAACTGGCTTTAACTCCTTTCCAAAGTGTTTGCATAGTTGGATATTAGCTTTTTTTAAGACAGGTGCATTAGGTACAATGTTGCAGCTGAGATTTAGAGTCACTCTGATGCTTCTTCTACTGGCGGCCAGGTGTGTTACACAGGAACAAACTCAAAATAAAGGCTGTGTTTGTGGGCACCCCGGGATACCTGGGGACCCCGGACACAATGGCACACCTGGCAGAGATGGTCGAGATGGACTCAGAGGTGACAAAGGTGATCCAGGTAAGTTTACAAGAGAAGAATCCTGCTTTACAACTTTACTTTATTCACATTTTAAAATGTCTTAAAGGTGGGGTAGGTAATTTTGGAGAAACCAGCTCGAGTGCGCTAGAATTTGAAAATACACAGCCGGAACAAATCTGCCCCTTCCTTACAGAGCCCCTCCTCCAACACACACAAACGCGCACATGACCAATGAGAGCTCGAGATAAGTTTGTGCACACATGGAAGGCTGACAGGCAGGTAGGCCATCCAGTTATTTTAGCCGGGCCGGCTAAAATGATTGGTCGTGCTTTTTACAGTACTACGGCTTCCACAGATGAAATTTTTTTATGGATTTTTTGTCAAAGCACTTAAGATATTCATTGCTATCGGGATGTTAAGAGCATTCCATGGAATATAACAAAAAGTGTATCTCGAGCCGGTTTCTCAAACTTACCTACCCCACCTTTAAGCTTCATCTTTACAATCTATAACAATAAATATTTATGAATCACCCACTAAAAGGACAAGTTGGCCATATGGGAGCAGCAGGTACTGATGGACACAAGGGAGACAAAGGGGAACTCGGTATGTATTTTCATAAAACTACACTGGAAAGTGTCCTGTTTTGAAATAATTGAAATGTACCCGCTGTATACTGTATCTTCACCTACTTTAACACAATTTATTCTTATATAGATTTCTCTTATCTGGCTTTACTCAACAGTGAACAGTGAGCATAAAAGGACATTGTGTGCTTGTCATTTACAGGTGCAGTTGGCCCATCAGGGGTCAAAGGAAAAAGGGGAGACAATGGAGAACGGGGGCCTCCTGGGAAAATGGGGCCTCAAGGAGTCCAAGGGCCCGTTGGCCTGAAAGGAAATAAGGGAGAGCTCGGGCTGCCCGGACCTCAAGGGCCTAAAGGCAATGTTGGGCCTATTGGACCAGAGGGTCCCAAGGGGGAAATCGGCCTTCGAGGTGACAGAGGCATTCTGGGACCATTGGGCCCCCCCGGCAAGTCAGGGCCTAAGGGGGACCTCGGTGTCCCAGGTCATAAAGGGAGTATAGGATATAGAGGTGACAGAGGGCTTCGAGGCGAGAAAGGGGAACTGGGTGAGAAGGGCGACACAGTTGTTATCCCTAAAAGCGCTTTCTCCGTGGGACTCACAGCGACGAGTAAACTGCCATCAGTTAATGCTCCCATTCGGTTCGACAAGATCATCTACAATGCACAGAATCACTACGATCTGCAAACAGGAAGATTCACATGCTCCGCAGCAGGGGCCTATTTCTTCACCTACCACATCACCGTCTACTCCAGGAACGTGAAGGTGGCTCTGGTGAAGAACGGAGCGAAGATCATCCACACCACGGATACCTACCAGAACAGCGAGGACCAGGCAGCAGGGGGCGCCGTGCTGCACCTGGAGGTGGGGGACAAGGTGTGGCTGCAGGTGGCTGGAGGAGAGCTGTACAATGGGCTCTTTGCTGATGAAGATGATGACACCACCTTCTCTGGGTTCCTGATCTTTGGGGCTTAAATTGCGCACCATTTCCTAATGAATGCTGGTAATTGTATTTTAAGCATAGAAAATACATTTTGTTTTTGATACTTTGAAAACATTATGCTAGTCATTTAACCATACTTTTACGTAAGGACATATTGAAATGCAGGACCTTTACACTGTAAGGATATTGCTATTTTTTTTAATCAGATTATTTTGTGTGTTATACCAATTCAATAAATGTTCCTGTAAGTTCTTGAACCTGTAATTCTGCTGAAATGACAGTATCAGCATGTGAAGTAAAGCAAACAAACTTTAAATGCAATGGAGGTGTCATTGTAGTCTGTAGCAAAAGTTACTACCACAGATATATGTTTAAATACTGCTGTAACAATACAGCATTCACTTAGTCGTCATTGCTCTGGTGTTTGTTTGGGGATGGGCATGCACAATGGAAATACCATTAATTGTTCTGGGCATGATTCAATGAAATGGTACGAGGAAGACAGTGAAAAACCCAACTGGAAGGTGCAGTCTTTTTTTATCTCAAAGAGCCGCAGCATTCCCCCTTTTTTCCTTCAATGAACAGCGTTCCAATGTGGGCGTGGTTTTGCGGTCATGGTGTAATATACTTAATTATGATTGGCTCACAGCCCAACGGTCACTATGTGGTCAACCAGTTAACACCATCGTAACCCCGCTAAGCCCCTCCCCCTAGAAACACTGCAACAAGTGCATTAATGATGCTCAAGCCTCCAAGAAAGACCTTCTTCAACCGCGATATTATGAGCTTTTCTTGAGCAACTTCGATAGAAAAAGTATGACTCAGTATTTATTTAGTCAACTTACATGACTAGCATCAGGTTTTGCCGGTCGGGGAAAGCGAAATTAAACGCGGCAAAAGCTTGCGCAATTAAGGAGAAGTTTATCAGAGAGTTAGCTTAAGTTGCTAGCTCAATGTGTTCAAGAAGTCACAGCCGTTTGTCTCAATATGTTGCGGGGTGAGCAGTGAGCAGAGGACTGGTCGTGTGTTTTGTACCGACATGTTTTTGCGAGAGGACGAGGCAGAAAGCCTTTGGAGCTCAGAGAAACGACTTCACTATGGCTGAACAACAAAAACAGCTGCTCCGTTGATGTGAGGAAAAAGGGTCAGGAGGACAACATCAGCGACTATGAGCAGGGTGAGCAAAAGTTGTCTTATCTGATCACTGCGTAGTGACTGCTTATCTAACAAACAGCCAAAACTAGTGATACTATAACTCCTTTAAATGCAGTGGTGTAAAGTAACTAAGTAGATTTACCAGAGTACTGTACTTAAATTCAATTTGGTGGGAGTTATTTTTTCACTTTGTACTTCTACTCCACTACAACTCAGAGCTAAATTGTGTACTTTTACTCCACTACATGTATTTAATAACATCACTTATAGTCAAAACTGTAATACGACTTTAGTTACACCTGGAGTAACATTCACAAGCTACCCTGCAGTATACAAAGTAATTACAACTAGTTGCACCTTTACCAACTTTGATAACACTTTAATGATCGATAATTATAAAACATCTCAGGTATATGAGTCTGAAATGGACCAATCTGCACAATGAGTGCTTAAGTGTATTTAGATGCAAATCCTTTTTACTTGACTAACATTTTGATTGCAGGACTTTTACTTGTAACAGAGTATTCCTACACTCTGGTACTTCTACTTTAACTTTAGGTACAATATCTGAGTTATTCTTCGACTATAATTCCTTTAAATGTTTAATACTACTTGTGGTTTACTTTGCAGTTGCGGTGATTTCCCCCTTTGAGTTCTTGTTTGAAATGGGACCAGAGGGGGTTATTGTGGTGCATTACAGCCGTGGTTGTTATAGTGATGTGGGAGATGCCAGGCTGCAGGGAGTTGGTGAAGGAGGGGTTGTGGGGGGGCACCTACTACAAAGAGCTTTATGGCCTAAGAAAGTTAATTAATGCAGAAATAAATAAGCAGTTTGGCCCTGAGTTCTTTATGCGCTTAGAAAACTCCTCAGTGTAATCCCCTTCAGCTCCTTGTTTTCAGATTCTGCTTTATTCTTAACAACTTGGCTACACTTTTAGCAGCAGTCTGCAGCCATTACAGTTTACTACGATCAATAATCTTCTTTTTATGGCTCCCCAGATGGACTTTTATACTAAAGGTAACCTGAGATGTCGAGATAAGTCAGCGTGAAATACTCAATCATAGGTCACAGTCCTTTGATTTATAATGACTATATTTTGTACAACAGTACCAAACTTCAACTGTATAATTGTACACCAGGATACTTTCTATAATAGAGGCATAAAATATAGCTTTGTGTCTGTTGTTTGTCAACTTTAACCAGCTATTTCCGGTGCTGTGAGTCGGGCGTAAAGGACGTTTGTGCCAAGGGAATAATGTGTTCATTCATTATCAAAAAAAGTGTTTTTCCACCTGAAGCATAAACTACTTCTAATCTCACTAATTGATGGGAACTGGTTATTAAGATCATCTCAGATCCTCGTGTAATTTAAGTGGATTTGTGATCTTGAGAATCTCTCTGCTTCCATGGTGTTTAAATGTTGATGGATCAGCCTTTTGATAATTGTTGCCTTGCTGTCAGGTTACACTGTTGACTGATGACAACGAGGCTCAGTGGAGTTTTGTCCTCTGTAAGACTTGCACTGTGTGGTGTTAGATTTCTGCCTGTCTGTTCCTATGACAGTCCTCAGCAGATCGGGTGAGTAAGTGGCTGCCTGTGTGAGACACTCCCTGGTTTAGCCTGTACCTGTACTTCCCACGCTCTATAGAAAGGGGCGTGTTGTCTCCCTATCTCACTTTTCCTGCCAGATCAAAAAATGAGGAACTGGGTCATGAACTAATATGAGACTTTACTCCGGAAACCGGTAGCATATGTGCTCACCTGATCCACATGTTATCTATTACAAAACCACGTGACCACAAAAGAGGTAATATGTTTCTTATATGTGTTTAATTTAAGCCTTTAACTCTCAATTTTCACCCCTAAATGCACAGTGTACACAGGCCGTGCGGCTCAGTGCAGTGCAGTCCAGTCCTGGTGGGCTGCTAACAAGCTCTGGGTGTCACTCTCAGTCAGAGCTGAATAGCCTAGTTGTCGCCCTGATTAGGCTATCATGTGTGGATGAAACCAGTCCTGAACACAGACTGGTAAAGCTCCACTAATCAGATTATTACTGGGATGGAAGAAGAGTAGGCTACACACACACACACACACACACGCACACACACACACACACACGCACGCACGCACACACACGCATACACATACGCATACGCATACACATACACATACACATACACATACACATACACATACACACACTCCCACATACTGCTCCCTCATTCAGTACTTCAGAGCTTTCTGTCTGACTCTTTTAATCTTTGCTGGGAAACAGATAACAAGTGTCAGAGCTAGAAAGATAATATTAAGAATGCAAAATACAGTGAACTTTTTATAGTAATGAGAAAAAGTGGGGCTTTAGTTTCACACACATAGATGTAGCTATTAAACCAATCTTTAAAACACTTAAGCATGCAAGCATTTAAGGAGATCCTACAGGCATGTCTTCCACAGCTTTCATTTCTTAAGACGAATAGAAGACCAGTAAAGTGACAGCTTACAGAGGAATGGCCAAGTTGCTGCAGGGTGTTTGTGTCTGTCTCAGAGATAAGCCAGAGAAAGGAAAAAGTTTCAAAGTTAACTTTAACTTGATCTGCTCTGTCTGGTAGTTTCTCAATTTTAATTTCAGTTCATTTTGGCCTAATGAGTTTGATCCTAGCCTTCGGGAGGTTACCTCTGCAAAGGTTGAACCAAGAGTAGCAGGTCACCTATATGAATTTATGACTCCTTCCATAACGGCCTGGGGTTTCTAGGCAAACAGGAAGGGAGTCAATGATTAAAGTGCCTTCCTCCCTGCTCAGCTAAGCGTGTGTTTGAGTACACATGCACACACATGGACGTGAAGGGCCGTGCACTTTGAGAAAGGATGCTCTAACTAATTGTGCTTTTCAGAGTGCATTCTTTAAGCCCTTGTTTACATGTTTATGCATCTGGGGTGATTGTTCATCCTCATCTCTGGGAGTCTAATCTGAAGCTGGCTCCAGCTGGCTGCCATGTGTTTTTGTGTGTGGGGGGGGGGGGGGGGGGGGCTCCTCCCTGAACTCTTAATTAACTCTGGACCAGGGCCCCAGAGTGCCACTCCCATCGAGGAGGAAGCAGCAGAGCCGCAGTGATCCTGGTACGCAGGCAAAGATGATAGAGGAGAGTTCATAGAAAAGGTGACCTGCATTCACAGAGAGTAGGGCGTGATATTAATGTGAGTTATATCTGTAGATGTTGCAATATGCAAATCTGTAGGCGTGATATAGTGGATGCTTTTTTTTGCTATTAATTCAGAAATGTTTGAGGGAAGGAAAAGAGGCCTGAGCTACACATTTGATCTTGACTTTTGAAATACATTTACAAAATTAAAGGTGTTTTCAGAATTGCATACTGCTGTACTGTTAATGTGCTGTGGACAGTATGGACATATAGTGCCCTGTGGACAGTATGGACATATAGTGCCCTGACTGAAAGCAGTGCTGAATACCATTGTATTTGATCTTGCATGCTTAAAAGCTTTTTATAATCCAGGAGCTGCAGTTGTCAGAGTTGATTATGTTCTAGGGAATTGTCAGGTATGGATGTCATTTGAACAGCGAAACAAGTTTGTCTGCCATGCACCGCAAAGCTTTTTTGTTGTGCTTTTTTGCACTCAGTCTAGACCAGAAAAACACTAAGGCTTAAAAAGGCGTCGCCAATTTTAAAGGGCACAGTTAATTGTCACAGAAACAAAAAATTCTCTAAGAGGTTTTCGAAGTTGAAGCAAAAGCATTTAAGTCTGAGTTTGTTCTGGCTATCAGACCTGCCAAGTATGAGAGAAGACAGCAACTTGCATGTGGCGTCACATTGAAGAGGGAAGGCAGGAAGGTGTTGAAGGATACCACAGAGGGAAGAAAGGTTGATAGCACGACGAGAATGTTCAAAACAAAAGCAAGTGGTAGAAATTCCTTCCTTATCTCCCATCTTTCTTCTTGGGAAATAGATGTGAATGATCCAGTATTTTTCCAGTTGCTGCTCAACGTCATCTTGCAGTGGCAGAGGAGGAGAAAGTACAAGACGACAATTCAGGATGGTTTTTGAAAGCAGCACATTGTTCACGAGGGCTGTTTACTGTCTGTCAGCAGC